CTCTCTGTCTCAGAAATAAACATTAAAAAAAAAATTTTTTTTAATAAAAAATAAAAAAAAAATAAAACTCCCTTGAGAGCCAGGGCTGTGGACGAAGGGCTGCCCCACAGAAGAGGGCCACGGTGGGGGCCAGCACCACACTGAAGCAGAAGGAGCAGGAGGCCTTGTTAGTACTCAGCCTTCTCTCCCCTCTACCTCTCAAGCCTGGGTGATGGGTCTGTAGGGGTCAGTCTCCTGAGCCATAGAGGAGGGAAGAGAAGAGCAATGAATAGATCTGGGAGGCCACCAGACACCGTCCAACACTAGCACATCGTCATCGAAACACTTCACGATGTCGCGATAATCCAGCATACAGAAGAACCTCACCTCCCTTCCGAACTTCTAATTGATCATTTAGGTTGGTTTCACTACTTTAGTATTTTAAGTAACACACAGAAAAGCATCCTTGAACAGCAGTGGAACCACCAGGTCAAACAGTGTGAACCTTTTTTTTAAGCTCCTGAAATATGCCTCCCGAAGTTTTTACAATTCAGTACTCTGGACCCATAGTGCAAGAGAGGGCCAGTGTCCTCACAACCCTTGTAAGTGCTGGAAATTAAGATATTTTCAAATCTTTGATTCCCAGTAAGACTTGGCAGTTTTAGGGTTACCTTTTTTAACGTTTTATTTTTACGGTAAATGTCACTGAGTTCTGTCTTTTAAAAAATTTAGAATCTCACAGTTGAAATAGCAGAAGGTTTTATAACTGTATTTTTATATTTTGTGGACACATGATTAGATCAGTAGGAAGGTGTGAGATAGTCGGGCTTTGGGCAGGAGCCATGCTTTAACATTCATTTTGGTACCCCTCCACAAGCACAGCGTACACATTCCTGTGCAGAAGTTTTCTAACTGAGAGGGGCAATTGGAGAACCAGCTTTTGTGCTACAGAACTCTTGAACTTTCCAGATCAGGAGATTCTAAGCTAAGCAGAGAAGTCACTCAGCCGCCTTCTCTGTGAGTATGAGAGTCATCTTCGTTCATGTGACTGATTATTGGCTTGCTGTTGGAATCGTCTCTTCCTACTTCTGATGGTCAGAGAATTTAAACAGATGATAGTCAAGGTAAGGTCAGTAGGAAAAGGACTCAGTGTACGTAGGTTTGTTTGGGCCATGTCCAGCCTTTCCTTCCCCCTTTTCTTGGTCTTAAGATGTGCAGTTACCAGTTCAGGAAGCAAATAAGAAGTCCCAGCCTGACCGGTTCCTGTTCCTTTTCCTCAGAACCACAAGCAGCAGTGGAGGGCTGACCATCAGCAGCCTCCTCAAGGAAAAGGAAGGCTCAGAAGTGGCCAAGTTCACTCTAGAGGAGCTCTGCCTCATCTGCAGCATCCTGAGCACAGCAGAGTACTGTCTGGCCACCACCCAGCAGGTGAGCTGCCCACCACCTCCTTTTCCTGACCCATCTGGGCCTCCTAACTCAGTGGCTGAAACTGTGGGCCCTAACAAGCCGTGTACAACCTTGGGCAGCCACGTAAAGGTTGGTCACAGAGGAAAATTTGCAGTCCAGCCGGAAGACGGCCCAGGCAGCCATCTTACAGAAGAGCCTTGTTAAAAGGAGTCTGGGCAAGAAAGTATGACCGGTCTCCCCCAGAGTGGTTTAAGTTCCTCAGAGGGCATGCCTTCTTGAAAGTAGGTCAGTAGCACTGTCTCCTGTAGGAGAAAAGTAGCAACAAACTTAACAGTGCTAGGACCCGGCCTTTGGTGGTGATGAGTCACAGGCAGTGATCCCATGCTCAGAAGTGTTACTGGGCTAAGCAAAATCCTTTGGGCTTTCATGTGTCTCCTGAAATGCACATAGCATTCTCAGCCTGCCTAAACAAACAGCCATTGTTTGGACGCTGACGTTCAGGAACTATGAAGCAGGAAAGGGTGATGCCTCTCCTGGAGCTCCCCATTAGCAGAAGGAAGACCCAGAAGAATTTTCCATTCAGCCTTAGACGTGGGATTAGAAGTTCCTTTTCACATTTGGTCTGGAATTCACCTAAGGCCAAGAGAAGGAAAATAATTGGAGAAGGTTCTGCTCTTCCCCCCCCTTTTGGGCTTATTATTTACACATGTCTGGATCATAGGAAGGTAGTCATAAATTATGGTTCAGACGGTACAGCTTGGAGTGCCTGTGAGCCAGAGTAAGACTACAGGAGGCCAGAATAAGAAGCGTTCCCCCCAAAACTTCACAGTTGAGGGTAAGCCAACCAGAGGCAATAGCATGCTCTGTTTGGGGATGTGGTCACATTGGGTTATAAAGGTGATGATCTGTAAAGGTTTGGCCTCAGAGCCAGAGATGGCAATCCCTTTAGCCCCCAAGAACCCCTAGGGCAGGACAGCAATATTGATGAAGGCCTCCAAGGCAGAGAGGTCCCAGAGTTCTGTGGTGAAGAAACACCATTTAACTGTTTTGCATGTGTGAGGAAAGGAAGACATACACACATGTGAATAGAATTTTTTTTAAGATTATTTATTTATTTTGAGAGAGAGAAAGAGCGTGTGCGTGCCTTGAGCGCAGAGCCCAACACGAGGCTCGAACCCACGAACTGTGAGATCATGACCTGAGCCAAAATCGAGTCAGACGCTTAACTGACTGAGCCACCCAGGTGCCCCCAAAATAGAGTATTTTAAAAAAAGTAAAATAACCATGGTACCAAAGGGGGAAAAATACAAAATTAATGACTCTTGGGGCACCTGGGTAGCTCATTCAGTTAAAGCATCCGACTCTTGATTTCGGCTCAGGTCATGATTTCACAGTTCATGGGATCAAGCCCCACATTGGGCTCTGTGCTGACAGCATGAGTCTGCTTAGGATTCTCTCTTTCTCACTCTCCCTGCCCCTCCTCTGCTCACGAGCTCTCTTTCTGTCTCCCAAAATAAATTAACTAATTAAAAAAAATTTTTTTAACCTTTATTCACTCTTGACAAAGACAAGGCATGAGCAGGGGAGGGACAGACAAGGGGACACAGAATCTAAAGCAGCCTCCAGGCTCTGAGCTGTCAGCACAGAGCCCGATGCAGGGCTCAAACCCACGAACTGTGAGAGCATGACCTGAGCCGAAGTCAGAAGCTCAACCAACTGAGCCACCCAGGCACCCCAATAAATAAATATTTAAAAAAAATAACTCTTAATCTCATCACCATCAAATAATCATATTAGCAATTTGGAGTATTTTCTTTCAGTCCTTTTTCACGAACTAGTTTTGTATGCTACAATCATTTTTTTTCTTTCTGAGAGGCAGTTTATTTAGTTAGTTTGTTCATTTATTTTGAGAGAGAGAGAATGTGTGTGGGGGGGGAGGGGCAGGGGAAGAGAGAGAGAGAAGGAGATAAAGAATCTCAAGCAGGCTCCACACTGTCAGCACAGAGGGACACGGACCCTAAGATCATGACCTGAGCCAAAATCAAGAGTCAGATGCTTTACCACCACAATTTTGTATGCTATAATCTTAATTTACTTCACTTCTTACCCCTTTGCTGTTTTTATTGACATCACAGCATTAACATTTCTCCTGTTGCTATGATATCTTCATTACTAACAATGTTATAATTCTGTAATATTTCATTAAGGGACAATACCATAAATAATTTAACAGGATCGTGAATAATTATCTGTGCTGTTTCAGGTTTTGCTTCTGTAAGTAAATTCTACAAAGAATATCTAATATGTTTTGCATTATTTTTCTAGAACAGATTCTTTTTTTTTTTTTAATGTGTATTTATTTATTTTGAGAGAGAGAGAACACACAAATGGAGGAGGGGCAGAGAGATTGCTGAGACAGTGAATCCCAAGCAGGCTCCACACTGTCAGTGCAGAGCCCAACACAGGGCTCGATCCCTCAAACCAGAGATCATGACCAAAGCAAAAATCAAGAGTCAGATGCTTAACCAACTTGAGCCATCCAGACACCCAGATTCTTAAAGGTTCTAGAAGTACTAGTGGACCAAAGACCATTTTGATGACTCATGATAGATGTAGCCAATTTTTTTTGTTATAAAAAAATTATTTTTATTGATTATAAAAGTCAGTACATTCTTAGCACCTATATTGTGATCTCTAAATACTATTTTCCCCTAAAAGAAACCAGAGATTCCTGCAGAAATGAGTAATTCCAGGTCTGGGACACAAAATGTACAAGATGAGCCTGGAGCATCATGTTGTACAAAAAGCAAGAAAAAGATCAGAGACTGTGAGAGTCCTTTCAAAAGGATTCAGGAGCCATAATGGGCTTATTTTACAGAAAGATGTGTGCAAGTCCTAACTACCAGTACCTGTGAATGTGACCCTATTTGGAAATAGGGTCTTTGAAGCTATAATTAAGTAAGGATCTGAAGAAGAGATTATTTTGCATTTAGGAACCCTAAATCCAATGACTGGCATCCTTAGAAAGGAGAGGAAGCTCTAACAAAGACACAGGCAAGAAAGCCACATGAAGACAGAGGCAGAGATTGGGGAGATACGTCTACAAGCCAAGGAACACCAAGGATTTCCAGCAGCCAGAAGATAGAAGAGAGGCATGGGATAGTTTCTCCCTCAGAACCTCTGGAAGGAACCTGCTCTGCCAACACCTTGACTTTGGACTTGCGGCCTCTGGAACTGAGAGAATAAATGTCTGTTCTGAGCCACCAGGTTTGTAGTAATTTGTTCCAGCAGCCCTAAGAAACTAATCCAGGAGCCTGCCTGAATACACTCTGCTGGTCAAAGGTGGGTTGTAGAAGCATCAATGAGAAGTTAATGGCAGTGCTTTGAAAACATCAGATGTGTTTAAATCCATGTGGTTACGATGATTTGTTTTGTTTTGTTTTAAGTTTACTTACCACCTTCGAACACACTAAGGAACCACTGGTGTGAATTGAAAACTGGTACAGAGAAAGTTCTTATCCTGTCTTTCCTATTTAACTTAGACTTCAGGATAATGAAATCATTGACAATGGAGGTATCTCTTTATAGCAGAAGTCTAGCTAATAAGTGAAGAAGAAATGAATTGGAATGTCATTCTTTTATACCTCCTAATGAAATAATGGATCTAGGCATTGACTGTCAATGGCTGCTGACATCACAAAAACAGAGACAAGTGAACATCGTGTATCTGCTGATAGAAATACACAACACCATCATGAAGTAGTTTTCTAAAAAAGAAGAGAAGGAAAAAAAGAACCTGAATCTGATTAAGCTTCTACATGAAACTACAACTCAAAGAAAATACAAGGAACAAGGAACATGTTAATTAATACCCTGTGGCTACAATCAACAAAATCCAAACTGTGGGAAAACTACAGAGCAGACAATCCAGTTTCCTTAGAAAAAAATGGCAGGAAGAAGGCAAGAAGAAATGGAAGGAGATACCTTAGAGACAGGAATCCAAGTGGTGCAGGGCGCCTGCTTAAGTGTCTGACTCGAGTTTAGTTCAGGTCATGATCTCACAGTTTGTTAGTACAAGCCCTGCATCAGGCTCTGCGCTGACCGTGCAGAGCCTGCTTGGGATTCTCTCTCTCCCTCTCTCTCTGGCCCTCCCTCCCTCACATGCATTCTCTCTCTCTCTCTCTCTCTCTCTCTCCCCCAATAACCTCTCAAAACAGATAAACTTAAAAAAAAAAAAATCTAAGTAGTGAAGAATTCAAAAATAAAGCTTGGAAAACAATGCCAATAATGTCTCACTATTGGCTCATTAATTGTAACCCTTTTACACTTAACACTGCAGGGTGTTTGCTCACTCATCCAGAGACAACAAGAGCGCTTACTGTCTTACCAGGCATAGTGGTGCAATTAACAGAAGTGGTGAGAGTAGATGGTTTCTTACTGTCAGGGAACTTAGAACTAACGGAGAAACCAAGATGATAATAATAATAAATACGATAACTTCAGTCTTGTGGTGAGTGCTGGTTAGGGAGTTGCTTACTCAAGTAGCTGCTCAAGGAAAGGCCTCTCCGAGGGCTGGTATTAAAGCCCAGAGCACACCAAGGGTTGGGAGGGGGACTGCCAGGGGGGAGTGAGGAAGGTTGGGAGGTGGGGGTGGCAAGCAAGGCAGTTGGGAGGGGTGAGCAAAGGCTGTTTCTGGGGAGAGAGGCGGAAAGTGTGATGTAAAAGGCCTGAGGGGAGAAGACTTGGATGGATTCCAGGGCCTTAAGCCATCCAAGAGTAAAGTAAAATTGTGTGGGCAAGGAAAACCAGAAGTGGGCGGGCAGAGGACCAAATCACTGAGTTAAGTTTAGATTGTATTTTCAGCCAAACAAGAATAGCTGAAAAATTTAAGCATTATGAAAGCCTCAAGCTATCCATACTGGCCCTTATAAACATGTGAACTGTTTCCAGCTTGTCACTAACATAAGCAAGACCACCAGAGTGTATGCTTTAAGAAAAGAGGATCTTGGGGTGCCTGGGTGGCTCAGTCAGTTACGTGTCCAGCAGAGGTTTCAGGTCTCTGTGGTTCCAGTTCATTGGTGCCCAGACACAATGTCAGGCTCTGCTGACTGGCTTTCAGAGCCTGGAGCCCGCTTCAGATTCTGTGTCTCCCTCCCTCTCTGTCCTTCCCCTGCTCGCACTCTGTCTCTCTCTAATTAATATAAGTAAACATTAAAAAAAAAAAAAAAGGAAAGGAAAGAAAAGAGGATCTTACCTGTTTTGTTCACTGAGTAACCCACTTACTCTGTTACAGAGCCTGGCACAAAGCAGGTTTTCTGTAAATTTTGGTTGAATTAACGAACGCTGCAAAGAATACTCGCGTATCTCTGTATATCGTTCTCGTTATTCATTGAAATATATCTCTAGGTGTGAAATTGCTGTTTTAAAGAGTGTGTGTATTTAAATCTCTGCTTTTTAAATAAATTGCATTCCGGAAAGTTACACTAATGTACACACCCCTAAGAGCATTTTTAAGTTTAAGACAAAACATTCATTATTAGAGTTTGTGTACTCAGTAGCTTTGGGAGTGCTAGATGAGTCAGTTCCCAGGATGCTTGGAGATGTTTACAATTCCCGGTCAGTTGTCTTCTTCTTTGAGGCGGTTGGGAGCATGGCCAGTGTTTGGCTGTAGGCTGATGAGGGCAGCCTGTGCTTTTTTTGTTGCTGTTTACCTGCGTATCCCCAGCACCTTCGCATAGTGGGTGGCCCATAGCAGTGCTCTCAGTGAATACTTTCACTGATTTTACTGCCACTTCCCACCAGAGGCTTCCAGTGCTGGTGAGCAAGCCTGCAGTTCATGGAGCAGGGAGGAGCCTAAAAACCGGGGTCTTTTTAAAATTAATGAAGTGAATTGTCAGTGTGTCATAAGAAACGAGTGCAGCCCAGTGCTAAAGGGCACAGGTTCTAGAGGAAGTTTGACTCGTGGCCCTACCACGTACTGTCTTGGGGAGGTCACACCTCCACTTTCTCTTCTGTAAAATGAGATAATAATAGAATCTTCCTCCTCGGGTTGTGAGGATTAAATGAGTCAGTACATGAAAAGTGCCTGGAATTGTACTGAATCATCAAACTCGGTACATGTTAAGTATTCTTATTTATAGCACTCCTTTGGATAATCGTTAAGCATGTTTTTCTCTCTTACTGTTAATAGCTAGAAGAAAAACTCAAAGAAAAAGTTGATGTGAGTCTGACTGAACGAATCAATCTGACCGGAGAAATGGATACGTTCAGCACGTATGTACCTTGCACATATTTGCTTAAGGCCTGCCCTTTACCCCTCACAAAGCAGAATGTCTCAGGCTGTTGGCCTTAGGTCACTACAGAACTTCAGAGGTCCCCCAGGCCTCCTGTTGAATCAGGATGATTCTCCAGTAGCCACTAAGAAAAAGCATTAGAAGTTGGTGCCTCCCACGCTGCCTCCTCACGAGCAGTCATTTTTAGCATACGGGGCCTTTACTGTTGCACTACTGACAATAACAAAAAGAGAAGTCCTCCCTTGGCCATCCTTGTAGGAAGGTCAAGTCCAGGGCCTCCTGTCTGCCCCCTGCCTACCCCAAATCCACAAAGGGCAGCCCTATCTGCAGCGTCTTCCAACAGGAAATGTGAGCATCTTGACTTTAGCTGGGGGTGGGGGTGGGGTGGAGGGTGTCTGTCCAAGAGGTTCAAACTGGAAAGTCTTCTCAAAGTAGTCCTTTTGCCAGTACGGTCTGCAGTTCATTTGTTGTGGTCAGTAAATAAGACCGGGGCAGGCCAGGCTTCAGCCTGCACATCAAGCACTTACCAAGGAAAGTCAAGATTCTCCTCCTAAGTTATTTCCTCTCCTTTTCTCAACTTTTTTTTTTTTTTTTCAAGTTCTGATTTAAACATTTGGGGCAAATAGGTGCTTTTGAAGTAAGAAGTGAAGAGGGATTCTGGATGGAGTGATCAGGGGGACTAGCCATGGAATTTTGTGATCTGACTCAGCGGGCACACACCCAAATAGAGGCCAGGACACGGAGCAAGAATGAAGAGCTGAAAGGTTCCTCCTTGTCATCCGTTCCCTTTTGAAATCAAGCTCGAGTTCTTCTGAAGAAATGATGAATCTAACTTTGAGACAAGTCCCTAAAAGATTTGGCAGGGGCCGTGTTGGTGATTGAGAAAGTTAGTCTTTTAAAGTCATGACCACAGTGATGTGTTTGACTTGCAGTGTCATCTCTAGCAGCATCCAGTTGTTGGTTCAAGATCTCGATGCTGCCTGCGACCCTGCCCTCACTGCCATGAGCAAGGTAAGGTGTGGGGAAGTGCCTCTTCTAGCCCTCCAACAGGGACCCCCGGTGGTTCCTGCCAGCTCTTGCCCGTAGCTCCTTGAGGTTCTTCACTGCTTCAAGTATCAGCAGGGAGGAGGATGGAAGTCCTCTAGGAAATCAGTTTATCTTGTACTTTAGGTCAGTTGCTTGTTCTCTGAGAATGAGACAGGGAGCAGGTGTGTTTGGTAAGTCCAAAGGAGATGTCTTTGTTTAGCATCTGATACATGCTGAAAACGTTCATGTGGTCTCAGCAGAATGGGTGGTTTTGTTAGTGCTTACGGCAGTAACTTCTGGCTCTTTCTCAGCTCTGGTATCAGTACAGGATTATTTGGTCAGCTTGTGGACATTGGTTTTCTAATGTCACGGTGGCCCATCAGTCAGCCCTGGGCCCTCAGTTCCCTCCTTTAGCACGTGCTGCCTCATGTTACCATTTGCCTTTTACTTGTCTGTGTCTTTTCTTCCTAAAAGGATGTAAATTCCTGAAGTGCCTGGACATATAGGATCTAGAAGAGTCTCTTGTTTGTTGATTAGTTAAGTTGTAAATGGGCAGTTCTTTGTTGATTGTTAACCCAAATAACATGATGCCGTCCACTCTAGAATTTCTAGAGCAGGGGTCAGCAAGGTTAGAGTTAGACTATAGTCTAAATCTTACCCATTGCCTATTTTTGTAAATAAAGTTTTATGGGAACACAGCCATGCCCATTCACGTATATATTATCTGTGGGTGCTTTTGTGTTACAGTGGCAGAAGCAAGTAATGAATTCGTAAATAAGTAATGAGACTATACAGCTCAAAAAGCCTAAAATACTTCCTGTCTGGCCCTTTACAGAAAATGTTTGCCAATGCCTGTTCTCGAGTTATCAAACTCTTGTAGCATTCTTAAACTCTGAAGAAAGAACTTCTCTGGAGCCTTCTGGCCAGTAGTAGAGTACAGTGGAAAAAACACTGGCCTCGGAGTCAGATGGACCTAACTCTTCTCATTTTTTTCTCTGGGGCCATTGAGCAAATGACTTAACCTCTCTGGGCCCAAATGAATTCAAGTATGTGAAATGCGGCTCTGTGCCTCCCAGGGTTGTCAGGACGGAACATGAGAATGACTGACTGGCCTGGCGCCCGTAGATGTTGGTGCTCTTGTCGGGAGGAGTGGCCGTGTCACAAGGTTGTGTAAGCACACATTTGGTCTGAATTTGGGTTTGTAGTAGATTGTAAATATTTAACGAAAGTAGGACGAAAACCAAAACTTAAGCTGCAGGGTTTTAGGAAGCTGAGTGGGGAGTCCTGAATAGCTGATGTCACAAAGTTTCTATTCAAAAAGCTGATGCTTTCCACCAGTCAGATGTGCGTGTATATTTCCAGTATTCTCAGTGTTTATGAGCAGAACATGAGCAGGCAAATTGAGGCTAACCCATTTTCTTAAAGGAATATGGCTCTGAAGATTCATCTTTGGGCTCTGATTATCCCCTAGTTGCTGGTGAACATGCACCGTACCCTGCATCTGATCTGTTCCAGCTGCCATCTCCCCTGAACTGCCACACACTTTAGATTGGAATGCAGCTGGGGGAAGAATTTTTACATTTAACAAAGGAAGAGGGGATTTTTTCCCGCAGTAAAATAACAGTTGTAGGGGGGTTTAACACTCCAGGTGTTGCTTATATGAACTGTCAGTTCATTAGTGGATTTCCCCCTCAAACTTCCCCCCCACCCACCGCCCCGGACCACCACCCATTTCTCTCCAGACCCACACCAGCAAATATTAACAGAGACCATACCTCCAGAATCTTTTGTTTATATCATAGGAAAACCACAGACTAGGGAGCGCAGCAGCTGGGAAGCCATTGGTCTTTGTCTGAGTCTTCTGGAGTTCTAGGGAAATGAGATCCATGTGATGAAAATGACCAGATACAAACAAGCCGAGTGGTCACAAATTGATTCAACATACACTCTTTGTTATTTGTGCCTGCCATCCTGTTTTGTGTAGTTTCTTTCAGGATTTTTTTTCAAACTTCTACTTTGTGATCATGCTTATTTCTGTCTCTGATTCCACCGTTTTTGCTGCTAGTTGGACAGTTCAATTCAGACTCTATCTAGCACGGTGCTGGGAGTTACAAGGCCGGGAAAGACATGGACCTTATCCCAAGGTGCTTAAGATTCCACAATGTGTGGGATAAGGGATGTATGAGATGAGAGGAATGCCCAGGTAACAGCAAAAAAGGTATGAGGAAATCAGTATGTGAGAGAAGTACAAAATGTGCCCTCTTTTTTTTTTTTTTTTTCAACGTTTATTTATTTTTGGGACAGAGAGAGACAGAGCATGAACGGGGGAGGGGCAGAGAGAGAGGGAGACACAGAATCGGAAACAGGCTCCAGGCTCCGAGCCATCAGCCCAGAGCCCGACGCGGGGCTCGAACTCACGGACCGCGAGATCGTGACCTGGCTGAAGTCGGACGCTTAACCGACTGCGCCACCCAGGCGCCCCAAAATGTGCCCTCTTTAAAAGAGGAGAGAGTTCATCTCTCTGTTCACATCAGGTGGGGAAACAAAGAAAGCCTTCCTAAGGAAGTGGCATTTGAAACAGACCACAAGAGATGGTGAAATTTGGAACGAATTTGCGATGAAAAGGGCATTCCAAACAGGGTGACAATAGGAGTAAAGATTTATAAAGTTAGGAAAAGCTCTGAACTTTGTCAAAACTGCCAATCTCGTGACCCATCTTTGGAGTTTCACAGAGCACTCTGTACTCATGCTTCCGTAGTCAAGATCGGAAACAGGAAATTGGCTGCCCTCAAGGGGTGTCTATCCTGGTGGGGAGAAAAGTTCAAAGAATTGATGCTGTAAAGAAATGGATTTTAGGGGCGCCTGGGTGGCGCAGTCGGTTAAGCGTCCGACTTCAGCCAGGTCACGATCTCGCGGTCCGTGGGTTCAAGCCCCGCGTCGGGCTCTGGGCTGATGGCTCGGAGCCTGGAGCCTGTTTCCGATTCTGTGTCTCCCTCTCTCTCTGCCCCTCCCCCGTTCATGCTCTGTCTCTCTCTGTCCCAAAAATAAATAAACGTTGAAAAATAAAATAAAATAAAATAAAAAAAGAAATGGATTTTATAAATAGTGAGAAAACGAGTGTTGGGCTTGCCAAAGTGGAGTGGAGTTAGAGGATTCTGAGTTGGTGAAAGAAGGCTTGACAAAATGGGTGGCAATTTAATTCTGTTATTCGGCTGGGAAGACACCTCATTCCTGTCGAAGGCACCCCCTGGGTAGCAGGTAGAGCTTCCATTATTTGTCCCTTCGCTGCCTTGTTCATTCTGCCACCCCTGTGCATATACCTGTACTCCAGCCTCCCAGCCACTCAGCCACTCCTGCTCCCCTGGATGCATTACTTTTTGGGGATGGGGCAGCTTCCATGCATTTCTCATTCTGTTCTTTCTGCCTAGAATTCCCTTTCCATTATTGCCTGCCCAACGAGCGCACCCTTTAAGATCTAGTTCCAATGTCTGTCCCCTTTTTAAAAATTAAGGTATAATTCACATACCACAGACTTCACCCTTTTAAAATGTATAATTCAGGGGCGCCTGGGTGGCTCAGTCAGTTGAGCATCCAACTTCGGCTCAGGTCATGATCTCACGGTTCATGAGTTCAAGCCCACATTGGATTCTGTGCTGACAGCTCAGAACTTGGAGCTTGCTTCTGATTCTGTGTCTCCCTGTCTCTCTGCCCCTTTCCCACTTGTGCTCTGTCTCTCTCTCAAAAATAAGTAAACATTACAAAATAAATTTTAAAAATGTATAATTCAGTAGGTCTTAGCATGTTCCCAAGACTGTGCAACCACCGCCACTAACTCCAGAATATCTTCATCACGCCAAAAAAAGAAACCTCCTACTCATTAGCAGTCACTTCTTATTTCCCTGGCAGCCACTAATCTACTTTCTGTCTTTGTATTTGCCTGATCTGGACATTTCACATAAATGGAATCATACAACATGTGGCCATTTGTGACTGGCTTTCTTCACATAGCCTAATGTTTTCAGTGTTACTCTATGTGGTAGCATGTATCAGGCTTCCTTTTTATGGCTGAATACTATTCCATTGTGCAGTTAGACCACATTTTGTTTATCCATTCATCAGTTGATAGACATTTGGGTTGTTTGCACTTTTTTTTTAAAGTTTTATTTATTTATTTTGAGAGAGAGAGAGAGAGCGTGCACAAGAATGGGGGAGGGGCAGAGAGAAAGAGGGAGAGAGAAAGAATCTCAAGCAGTCTCCATGCCGTTAGCACCGGGCCCAACTTGGGCTCAATCTCACGAACCACAAGATCATGACCTGAGCCAAAATCAAGAGTTGGACGCTCAACCGACTGAGCCACCCAGGCACCCCAGGTTGTGTCCACTTTGTAACTTCTATGAATAATACTATGAATATTCACGTACAAGCTTTTGTATAGATATGTTTTCAGTTCTCGAATATATACCTAGGAGTGGAATTGCTGTATCATGTGGTAGCTCTGTGCTTAACATTTTGAGAAACTGCCGAACTGTGTTCCACAAGTAGCTGCACCATTTTACATTCCCACCAGCAACAGTCAGGGGTTCTAAAATGCCTGTATCTTTACCAATGCTTTATTTTTAACATAGCCATTCTATCTCATTGTGGTTTCAGTTTGTATCTGCATTTCTCCGATGACTAAGATGTTGAGCATCTGTATATCTCTTTTGAAGAAATGTCAGTCCAAGTCCTTCATCCATTTTTAAACTGGGTTGTCTTTTTATTGTTGAGTTGTAAACTTCTTTTTATAGTCTGGATAACCACACTCCTTATCAGATATATGATTTGCAAATATTTTCTCCTTTTCTGTGGGTTGTCTTTTCACTTTCTTTATTGTATTTATTTATTTATTTGTAACATTTATTTATTTTTGAGAGAGAAAGACAGAGACAGAGTGTGAGCAGGGGAGGGGCTGAGAGAGAGGGAGACACAGAATCCGAGGCAGGCTC